ACAACGATAGGCTAGGTAGGAGATAAGATTAATTTTGTAAAGATTACTTTTTTTTATTTTTTTTAATAAAATATATATATTCTTTTTTTTTTTCTGTATTTCTTTTAAGGAGAATGAAATGAAGGGGGTAGTACGTACATGTACAGTCTGATTATACTGTATATGTTGGACTTTTTTGTTGCAAGGGCTTCTTTTCTTTATTTTTTATTTTTAATTATTATATTATATACAGATATTTATTTTATTTATTAAATTAATTAATTAATTAATTAATTATGGTTTGAAAAGTTTCAGGGGTGAACCGAATATACAGAAGAAGGAAGAATTAGGCTATTACACACAGTTTCATATATCACTGCCATATCTATATATATATACCCCACAAACAAACTGTGGCTTTGCTTCATATATTTCACCATCAGGTATACAGATACACCACGTCTCTTCTTTTACAGTCCACACATATATATATATATTTGTATATATATATATATATATATATATATATATATGTAACTCCCACTATACTCTCTCGCTCTCAGTGTGTGTGTGTGTGTGTGTGAAAACTGAGTTGGATTGGACGTGAAGTAAAAACTAACGTAGTCCCTTTCCTCAGTTTTTTTATTAGTCAGAAGATCGATCGATGGCGACATACTTTCATGGGAATTCGGAAAACCAGGGAGGCGGCGGCGGCGGCGGCGGGGATGGGTTGCAGACGCTGATTCTGATGAACCCTGGCTACGTCGGTGGGTACTCCGACAACAACAACAACCAACACCCACCCAACAGCAACTTCGTTTTCCTCAACTCAAATAATATCTCTGGCAACAACAACAACAGCAGCCACCACCTTCCCCACGCGCCGCCGTCCTCTCAAACGCAGCATTTCGTCGGCATCCCGCTTCAGGGAACCGCGTCCGCCTCCGGCCAGGATCCCCAGCAGCAGGACGTCTCGGCCCTGCACGGATTCCTCCCGCGCGTCCACTACAACCTCTACAACCTCCCGATCGACATCGGGGCGGCGCGTGACGTGACGCGCGCACAGCAGGGTCTCTCCTTGAGCCTCTCCTCCCAGCAACCTCCCGGCTACGGATCTTTCCGGCACGAGAGGGAGGTTTCCGTTCAGCCGACGATGGTGACCGCCGTCTCCCCTCCCCGCGGCGGCGGAGGAGACGAAATCAGGGTCTCCGGCGGATCGCCGTCGTCCGCCTCCGGGGTCTCCAACGGCGTGAACGGAGTCCAAAGCGTGCTTCTCAGCTCCAAGTACCTGAAAGCAGCCCAGGAGCTCCTCGACGAAGTCGTCAACGTCGGAAAGGGGCCAAAGACCGCTACAGATCAATCACACAAATCCGGCCAGACCAAGAACACCGGAGATCACTCCTCCGCCGCCGCCGCCACAAGCGGCGAAGGCCACAGCGGAGGAGACGGCGGCTCCGCCACCAAACGTGCAGGGCCGAGCTCACAACAGCAGAGAGACAGAAATCCAGATGAAAAAGCAAAGCTCGTCAACATGCTCGATGACGCAATGAGGTCACG